GTTGTTTTTATGTGCCGTCGAGTCGGACCCAACTCATAGCGACCCCTCCTTGGGTTCCTGAGGTGGTATCACTACAGAAGTAGATTGCACAATCTTCCTTCCAAGGAGTGGCTGGTGGGTTGAACAAAGTTTGTACACTGTATATGTTTATTAAAGGAATAGAAGAATCTAATATAATGGCAGAAGAGTAAGTTGAGCCACTTCTGAGTCTTCAAGGCCATACTGGGCACCTTGAACTCTGTGGTTGAGAATGAACTGTAATCATTGTAAGTCAAAATATGAATGTGGTGGTTATGTTTTTGTGTCAAGTTGCCTGGGCCTGGTTGAGTGGCTGGGCAGCTGGTGGTAGTTATTCCCCATTATGAGACTGGCAATCAACTCCATGGTGGGATTTACCACAAGCAGCTGAGTAGTTGCCTTTGGGATGTAGTCTGCTTCCTGTATATAAGGAGAAGCCTTGGGAATAGGCTCTAGACTATGGCACACTTGGACCCTGCATGTAGCCATGTCATTACTCAGCAGCCTGCTATGCTCTGCTGACATTGGGACTTAAAGTGGACTTAAGTTAATGGCCTGCCATGTAGTCTGGTAACATCAGGACTGTGCCTTTTTACTTGTCAACCTTGGGGCTTCCAGCCTTAGCAGCCAGCAGCTGTCTGACTGAAGAAATGCCTCTAGCTTCAGTGGGCTAGGAGCAGGAGGCAGAGCTGGACCCCAAGATTGAGGGGCTTTCACTCAGCCCCTAGAGTCTAACACTTTGAACTTGGACTTCTAGCCTCCCAAACTGTAAGAGAATAAACTCTTGTTTGTTAAGGCCATTCCATTTGTGTTATATTTCTGCCAGAGTGGCACTAGGTACCCAGAACAGTGAATTACTTAACAATTCTTATTTTGTTCCCATGTCTCTTCATATAATGAATAAATGATTGTTGTTATTGTGATAGTGATACATAAAAAAATAGAATCTGATAACATAAAATAATAATGAGGACTCCATGTATTAGCTACACAATGTTTCAATGCAAAGCAGTATACATATTTTTACATGCATTAAATTCTCAGTCTCCTCAAATTTCATATGGAATATTTCCCAAAATTTTTCAGCACCTTAATCATGCAGCTAGTTTAGTAAGGGAGTTAAAACACTTAGAAATGCAAGATAAAATTAAGAAACAGAAGTCCAGACAATGAAAACAAGAAAAAGCCTTAAAAACATCTTACATTATGTGAACAGCATGGTGCACAGAATGTTGTTGTTGTTGTTATGTGCCGTCGAGTCGGACCCGACTCATAGCGACCCCTCCTTGTGTTTCCAAGGCAGTATCACTACGGAAGTAGATTGCCCCATCTTCCTTCCGAGGAGTGGTTGGTGGGTTTGAACCGCCAGCCTTCTGGTTAGCAATCAAGTGCCTTAGCCACTATGCTACCAGAGCTCCCACAGAATGTTAGAATCAGCAAATATTTGTGGAATACATGAGTAATGACTGAGGACTGTGTATTGTTGGAAAATTGAGGCTTGGTTTCTTTACAGGTGAAGGGTTGTATCTAAATTTACACCATCCATTGATTCATACATTTGTACATTGACATGAAAATGTAAAGAAGTTAACAGAGTGTTTAAGATCAAATATATCATAGTCTTTAGCATCACATGAATATAATAAATACTCAAGCATTACCAAGAGTGATATTTCTTAATTTTAAAATCAATTTTCCTCCCTTCTCTGAAATACAGACTATGGAGGAAGACCATGGGGAAAGGTATTCCCAGAAGTCATTTACATTTTGCATCATTCTCTTGAAATAGGCCCTATGACAAGCAGTGAAAAGAGCATTTCTTGCAAAACTCCTTTGTCATGGCAGATTGCTCTCACTCCAGGAAGTAAGAGACAGAACCAGGACCAACAAAGACAGACTTCTATCACCCATCAAGTGTTTGTAGTGAGGCTCTGTCACTACTTTTTCACAGAGGAGTTTCTAAGGCAGCCTTCTTTGTTTTCTCAGCTATTCCCAAATTATCTGAAGAAGAGAGCAAAATAAAGCAGAACACTAGCTTAGGAAAATACTGGTGAGTGTTTCTTTTCCTTTTTTTTTCTTCTTAACCAATCTATCTTCATTGAAGTGTGGTGGGAAATAACAATTCAATCAAATTTCTCTATGTGGAGCATATTTAATATATTTTCAACACACTGTCCTCATAAGTAAGGGGTGAATGATACTTTTAAGATGATATCATAATAAAGTGTATCTATTCATGACTATGACATAGGGCAGCATGAATATGAAAAGAAATAGCCAATCAAAGTTTTATTATTTCAAAGGGAAATGAGACATTATCATGTCTAAATGCACAGAAAGAGGAGGGATAAATGTTTTCATATGGATATTGATCCAAAGATGAAGTAGGACTCCTCTAGGACTTTGGGCAATGGCTACAGAATTCAGATCTTATAAAAAGGCACAGTGTTTGCTGCATAAGATGCAAGTAACACAACTCACAATTCTTGAAAACTGCTATGATTTGAACTCCCTTAAATCAAGCTTTCTCAGGGAGAACAGTAAATATAATTATTTTCCAATCAATAGGAAATATCAAAGAGCCTTCATGCAGAAGCAGGGGACGTACTCAATCCCTGAATCTGAATTTGATGATGATGATTATCATTATTTTGTATTGCAAAGAGAAGGCATAGCTGTAATGACTACTCCTACCACTTTAATTTGTACTTAGAAGGACACAACTCCATAGTTTCTTAAAAGTGGACATGCCAGTTACAAAATTTCTACAAAGGAATAACTGTGAGTACAGACTTCAGTAAGAGCTGTAGGCATTAAACTTAACAGAGATCTTGAAGAGATGGGCCTCCTTCAGGTAGAGGAAGTTCCTATTGATTAGCTAAGATGTGTAAACTCACCCTATGTTGCAGATAGATCAATCATTTACATCTATGGCTTGATTTGATAAAACCGTGTCATATTTCTCCCTTCTTGCAGTAACACTGCAGTGACCCTCTCCAGGGCATGGAGATGTATCATTCTAATTCAGTACCATTCTCTTCCTTTAATTACTTTTGAATTCTCCTTCAGTAAGGAGATCTTCCACTGATATTTAATTCTTCCGTGTTAGTGAGAATACTTCTCATCTCTGCACACATTTTGGGAAAACTAATATAAGTCATTATGAAGGTTGATGGCTTAGAAGAATGAGTGAAGGACAGGTGATACTAAAGAGCAAGATTCTCCCTCCCCCAAGTCCCACACCTTAGTCAACAGACAAGTGATTGAAACACCAATGAAAATAAAACCTGAGAGATTCCCAGATACTCGAAGTTGAAGATGAAAAATTATTTGAGATTTCACTTCACTTCCTTACACATCAAATAGCTCTTGCTTTGCTCCCAGTAGGTTTCTTTTATTGGTCTTTTCTTCTCTTATTTCTCCCTCCCTACTGACAGAATGATTAAATTCATGATAGAAATAACTCTTAGAATGATAGACAGGATAATGAAATTGGAGCTACCTCTTTTCACAAATAGAGAAGTAGAACTCTATGACATTAAATGATTTACCCAAAGTTGCACTACCATGTAGTTTGAACCCACACGGCACATGAGAAGTCTATGAGTTGAAAATCAACTCCATGGCACCTAACAACAGCAACAACAGCACCATTATTAAACTGTCAAATAGTATAGTTTTGCTCTTCTTTGTACTAGTCCACATCACATCCTGACTGTAAAGTACTTCAGGTCAAGTAGGAGAACATGTACAAACACAGGCACAGGAAGATCCTAGTTTCATAAGTAGGAGAACCTGCTGAGGTCATCCTGTCCCTACTACCAGAGTTCAATATGCTATATAAGCATGACCATATTCAGAAAGGCAATTGTAGACTTAGGTCTTCATTTCTGTGTCAAAAAAAGGTGAACTTCTCCTGGTGTAAAAATGTTACTATACCCCAAACAATGACCAATAAATTGCCATACACTTGATTCTAACTTATGGTGGCCACTAGCACATCATAGTATAACTATACTCCATAGGACATTTTTGTTTTGGTTTGGTTTGATTTGATTTATTTTGTTGTTGTTGTTGTTGTGAATGTGCACAGCAAAATATAGATTAATTCAACTGTTTCTATTTGTACAACTTGGTGGCATTGATTGCATTTGACGAGTTATGCAGCCATTCTCACCTTCTTTTTCTGATTTGTTCCTCATTAATTAACATAAATTCATTGCTCCCTAAGATTCCTGTCTAATCTTTTAACTAGCTGTTTTCAACTTGTTCCTATAGTTCTTGAAAGAACATTATTCTTGAGGCACGAATTTTTTCCTAGTTAAGGGTTTTCAATAGCTGATTTTTTTGAAAGTAGATTGCTAGGCATTTCATTCAAGGTAGTTCTTAGTCCACTTGAATCTCCAACATATTATTTGGCAGCTGAGCATGTTAACTGTTCTCATAGCCCAAGGACTCTAAACACAGAAATTATTTCAAAATCAGGCCAACGGCTTACACAAAATAAGAACTAAGCAATTTTCTTTAAGCAAATAAATAAATCTTTAAAAAATAGTTAAAATAAAGGAAATCTTGGCCTGATGACTATTTATGGGATTTGCTTGATCTTTCTGGACTTTGTTTCCTTCTCTGGAGTAAATAAATTGACTGTTGTGTGAAGGTTGATGGTCAAAATATATACACTTCAATATCTCTGACTATGTGTGCCAAACAATTGTAAGTACCTATTTTGCATGATCAACTACTGTGGTTATACATTTTTATATAAACTAGAAATGATAGGAGCTCTGGTGGCGTAGTGTCTACACCATTTGACCGCTAACCAGAAGGCTGTCAGTTCAAACCCACCAGCCACACTTTGGAAGGAAGACTAGGCAATCTACTTCCATGGAGATACTTCCTAGAAATAATACTGTTGATGGACCTTTTTATTTTTTCAGGCAATGTAATTGTCTTGGGAACTTAGCCTCCTGGAAAATTCCATGGGAAAAATAAACAACGTAACTATATTCATTTTAAGGGGACTGTCTCAGAACCCAAAAGTGGAAGAAGTTTGTTTTGTGCTGTTTTCTTTCTTCTACATGGCTATACTTCTGGGAAATCTTCTCATCATGCTTACAGTGTACATGGGCAACCTTCTCAAGTCTCCTATGTATTTCTTTCTCAACTATTTGTCTTTTGTGGACATCTGTTACTCCTCAGTTACAGCTCCGAAAATGATTGTTGACCTATTAGCCAAGAAAAAAACTATCTCCTATGTGGGGTGTGTGTTGCAACTCTTTGGGGTACATTTCTTTGCTTGTACTGAGATTTTTCTTCTTGTTGTAATGGCCTATGATAGGTATGTGGCCATCTGTAAACCCCTACACTACATGACCATCATGGATCAGGACAGATGCAATAAAATAATGCTGGGGACCTGGGTAGGTGGGTTCATGCACTCTATTATCCAACTGTCTTTGGTGCTTCAGCTACCCTTTTGTGGACCCAATGTGATTGATCACTACTTTTGTGATGTCCACCCTATGCTGAAACTGGCCTGCGCAGACACATATACTGCTGGTGTTGTTGACACAGCCAATAGTGGAACTATCTCTCTGGGGAGCTTCATTATCTTGTTAATCTCTTACACTGTCATCCTTGTGTCCCTGAGAAATCATTCAGCAGAAGGCAGGCGCAAAGCTCTCTCCACTTGTGGTTCCCATATTACTGTTGTCGTCATCTTTTTTGGTCCCTGCATTTTCACGTATGTGCGCCCTAATACTACTTTTCCTGGGGACAAGTTTGTAGCTGTATTTTATACCATTATTGCCTCCATGTTAAATCCCCTTATTTATACACTGAGAAATGCAGAAGTGAAAAATGCAATGAAGAAAATTTGGTGTAAGAAGATTTTCTGGGAGGCTAGGTGGTTTAGTGTCTAAGGCACTTGACCACTAGCCAGAAGTTTGGTGGTTCAAACCCACTAGTCACTCCTTGGGAGGAAGGTTAAGCAATCTATTTCTGTAGTGATACTGCCTTGGAAATCCAAGGAGGGGTGGCTATGAGTCTGGTCCCACTCGAAAGCAGTGTTTTTGTGTCGTTTTGTTGTTATTTAGTGGTTAGAACTGTGATTGGTACATATTTAGTGTTCAATATCATATATTATATGAATAACAAGAGTACAAGATAAGTAGCCAGGATGTAAGCTAAAGTATATTTATATAAGTCTTCTCAAAACACAGATAGTTTAAAAACTAAACATCTAACACTTTAAATGGTTGGAAAATGTGTGCAAATTTAAAACAGAGATAAAACACAAGCTTAAAAGACAAATAAATATTCTCAACTTGTCTTTCAATAAGACTCATTTTCTTTGCCCAAACAAAAAGGATATCATACAAGATGATTGCCTTTCAAGTATATTATATTGTATTAGACTCTAAATATGCCACTGTTAACTGACAATAAGATAAATCTACAATCTGTAAACACAGTCCCTGTTAATGTGAAATGACTAACACAAAACAATTTATGTGTTTCTTCCATATTTAACAAATCAAAATTGCTGGATACTGGTTCCTTGGCTTAACTAATTAGATTTTTATCCAGGAATTCCAGGCAAACCTATTCCAGCCTAAATAAACAAATAAATAAATCTTGCTCTTATGAACTGATAATCTGCTTTACTTTGGGATGGAAACTTTTTTTTTTTTTTTAAAGATGAAGGTATCACTGATTACCTTTCTGGTATTATTTTGCTTCCTTTTCCAAAATTATGATTATCTGGTCAGTGTGTATATTATGTATATTCCCTATGCTTCTTTGTGCTTGCAGTGTGTGTATGTGTGTGTGTGCATATGTATAAACATTTACTACATTAAGGAATCTATATGTATATGGTGGGGAGCTCTGCTAGCATAGTGGCTAAGGCACTTGACTGCTAACCAGAAGGCTGGTGGTTCAAACCCACCAGCCACTCCTCAGAAGGAAGATGAGGCAATCTACTTCCGTAGTGATACTGCCTTGGAAATCCAAGGAGGGGTTGCTATGAGTCAGGTCCAACTCGACGGCACATAACAACAACATGTATGTGGTGTTGTGGTTGTTTTTGTTAGGTGCCATCAAGTCAGCTCCAACTCATGGTGACCCAATACAACAGAAAGAAACACCACCAGCTCGTGTACTATCCTCACAATCCTTGTCCTACTTGAACTCATCGTTGCAGCCACTGTGTCAATCCATCTTGCTCAGGGTATTACCCCTTTCAGGTAGTGCTTAAAAATCCTTGCTGATGTTGAGGCAATCACAGAAGTAAAGAGAGGAAAGATCAAAGAGCAGCAAGACATCTGAGTTAGAAGTCATCATCAAGAAACCTTTGACCTGGGATCATGTAAATCTATGGTTATTGTTCCAGATTGCACATATACTCACTGGGTCTCTGTAGAAATCCACTTAGTACATTTTTAAATGAAGACTAGCTGAGTTCTTCTCAAGCTTGGTTGATTACTGGAATCACCTTGAGAACAGGTAACTACAGGGAGGAAGTTGGAGAAGGAATGTTAAATTTGGTCATTGTGACCAGTGTGACAAACCAAAATGGGTACAAACTATTGACTGTACAATGACTCTGCTTTGTAAAATTTGACATCTCTCACCCCCACAAAAAAGTAAAAAACTACATCTAGGTTCTAGATGATCTTTGTTTCTTACTCAAGTGAAAGAAAAATTTATCACCCAATTTTGTACATTTAATTTCAAGAACAGGACACATTTTTCCCCATACATTTTAAAGGCAAACCAAATATAAACTCTTTGGCCTATGTGGTTCATACTTCTTAATTGGGAAGAAAGGAACACTTTAAGGAACAATCTTCCCCAAGTTCTTATATTTTGCATCATTCATGCTAAATACTCCTCCAGTGAAGGCAAAAGAGAAACATTCCACAGTCAAAAATGGTCCATGTTGGTTGATGTCAGAGCATGTGGCATGAAACTGTAGCCAACTTGATTGCCTTCTAGGAGAGAGGTGAGAACCTAAACATCTTTGTGACATCAAAAAGACACTAGCTGCAGAGTATTCAGAATTTTAGAAGCCCTTTTTACTTTCCTAATAAGTAAATGGTTTCCAAATTACCTGTGAAGAAAAGAGACCAACTGTGCATTCTAAGCTCTGCATAGAAACTGGTAACATCTTCACTGGAGAATAAACCAAAAAAAAAAAAAAAAAATCACTATCATCAAGCCAATTCCAACTCTTAGAGATCCCCATTGGGTTTCCAAAGTGTAAATTTTTAAGGAAGTAGATTGCTCCATCTTCCTTCTCTGGAGTGGCTGTTGGATTTGAACTGCCAACCTTCTGGTTAGCAGTCAAATGCCTTAAGCACTAGGCCACCAGAGAATAGCACAATTGTACTTGGTATTTGGAAAAAAACAATCTGTTCAGTCACCACCTTCTACATGTAACACAGGGCATTTGCAGAAGGACAGGAAGTTTAAGGACTTTTCTAGTAGTGATTTACAATCTAAAATGAGAAGGTGGAAATAAAATATGTGTATGAGAGTTGAGCCCTACAAGGTAAATGCTTTTGATAGATGGGGATGAGGGAGAAAAGGAAATCAAAATCATCTGTTTGAGGTTTCCAGAAACACTTCATGGAGGTGTTTATTTTGCTGTGGGAAGAATAGGCTACAGACTTCATATCTCCTCAATCAACCAAGTATAGACTCATATGGGACATTATAAGATTGTATCTCTAGAAAATACTACTTCAACCTTTCACTAATTCAAGAAACATTCACTGAGCACCTACTTCTTTTCTATGCAGAAACTGAGTAGCAAGCAGACAAATATACCTTTCTTATGTTGCTTAGTTTGAATGTGTCATTCATATGATGTGCCCTTCTAATGTATAGTATTTATGTGAAGGGAACTCAACGTGTTATGATATTGAGATAGTCCATTTCATTGTATCACTAGCTTATCTTTGAAACTTTTCATCTTTTAGAATCAAGGTCTTCCTTTCTTCATGGACTGATATTCTAAGCTAGTTCTTTCTTGTGTTATTAAGATGACTAGAGGATCTTTTACAGGATTTTTAAAATTTAGTATTACAATGGGCCTTGAGATACTCAGATACCTAAATAGGTGTGGTTGATATGGAAAATTAGCAACACAATCCCGAAATTCTAAAAGTGAGAAAAGTAAAATAATTCATATTATAAAGATGAAATAACAATAAACTGGAATAACTGGCATTTTCTGTGAAAAGTAGGAACTTATTTAAAATCAAGTTATGGTAGGAAATTATTTTACTCTATGACAGTTTATGCTTTGAAATTACCATAGACATTGAGAAAGTTGCCCACAAACCTTGTCTCGTGTTAGTGAGGGTAACAAGACTCCCCAACTGCAATAGAAAGCTGCTAGTTGAGATGTGGCAATAAAGAGGTTGTCTAGATTCCCAAGAGAATTGCCAACAGAATTTTGGCAATACCAACAATGGGCCAAAAAGATTAATAACAGAAGCTTGTCTGTGTCAGCCATGGGTTATGTCATGAATGCAGTATTCATCCATTTCAGTGCTATAAATATAACACATCTTTATAATTACCAGATCCATTTTGTTTTAATGCTGCTTTTAATTCTTTAGTCAGACAAAACTAAACAATGATGTCTTCTTGTCAAAGATTATTAAAAAACATAAATGTAACAAAATATTACTATTTCCCTGCATTCTTCCTCTTCTTACTTTTAGGGATGTTAAGTTTAGTGTCTGTTAGTGGTACATCGGGAGCTCTGGTAGCATAGTGGCTAAGGCACTTGACTGCTAGCCAGAAGGCTGTTCAAACCCACCAGCCACTCCTTGGAAG